GTTGTTGGTGACAGTGTAATGACTGTTTCTTAAAAAAACCAAAGAAGAGTGTTTTGTGTTGGGGGGCAGAAAAATAAAGGGGATGTTGGGGATGTGTCACCACATTACATATAAGCTGGATCATGCCAATTTTGTACAGGATCTTGATATAACTCATTCGCATTCCCCTTTTCTCTCTATTCTTTCTTTCATCCCATCCCCTCGAACATAACAGAACAGGGCTATTGGTCGCTGGGCGAGTGCTCTGGTGTGGTTTGCTCCTCCTTTCCTATCAAACATCTAACGTCCTTATCTCTCCTCTACCCCTCGGGGCGGTGCCACTGACTGAAGTGTCTTTAGGCCATTTCCAAAAAAAAGGGGGGGGGGAACATTTCTCGTTCTAATGCACAGTAGCATTGTAAATGGGCTGATTAAAGCAATGTCATGCTCATAATAAATGTGCCAGAACTACAACAGGGAACTACTGCTTTTTCTTTCCTAATCCTTACTATCGTCATTTTCCTCTACTTCTTTTGTATGTTTGTCACACTCTTGTGACCCTCTATTTTCGGGGTGCCTTGATAGTCGAAGCAGACTTTGTGTTGTTGAAGTTAGAGAGGTGAGCAGAGTATGTCGGATTCCCTGTAAGGACTTCTCTGTTGACATCCACCCCTTGGCGCTCATATGACCTTTTACAGTTGCGAGCGCCGTAAAATGTCTACTAAAACTCAGACTAAAACATTATCTCTCCTCCTCCTTTTCCATGTTTGTTACTTGCTCGTAACACTTGTATTCTTCGGCACTCATATGACTAATTGCGTTGCAGGTGCTGTAAAAGGTTTATTAAAACTAAAACAAAAATAGCTATTGTCAGGCAGCTCAGGCATAAAATGTAGGCCTATGAATTGACGCTTGAATTATGTGTGTAATTTCTTCAGCATATTATCCGCTGGGCATTGAAGCAAATCATGCATAATAGGGTGAACGCATGTGAGCGAATACCGATGCGCTACGATATATAATATATAACAGAAATATACTATTATAGATAGGCTGCTATACAATTGGGGGTGGCTTGTAAGGATAAGGCTCACGACACCTGTCACCACGAATGGCTATCTGTCTCCTCGCTCTGTTTAGAGTAGATAATGGGCAACGGCTCCACTTTGCTTCTCTTTCTCTATCTTTTCTTCTCTTTTTCATACTACATTCTGCCCCTCCTCCTCCTCCCCCCTCTCTCTCTCTCTCTCTCTCTCTCTCTCTCTCTCTCTCTCTCTCTCTCTCTATCTATCTCTTCTCTCTCTCTCTCTCTCTCTCTCTCTCTCTCTCTCTCTCTCTCTCACTGTCTATTTTTCACTCTCTCTCTCTCTCCCTCACTCTAACACACCCTCTCTCCCAGTCCCTTCTCTCTATGTGTGTCTTTTCCTCGCTATGAGTGTGTCCGTCCCTGCCTTTAGGCTTAAACTTGTTAGTGTGAGTGTAAATGTGCTTATTGTGTGTGTGTGTGTGTGTGTGCGTGCGTGTATGTGTGTGTGTGTGCGTGTGTGCATGTGTGTGTCTGTGCGTGTGTGTGCGTGTGTGTGTTTCTGTGTGTGTGTGTGTGAGTGTGAAAGTGAGTTAGTGCGTCTCTGTGTGTGTGTGAGTGAGCGAGTGAAAGAGAGAGAGACAGAGACAGAGAGACTGAGGCAAACAGACCGACAGAGACAGACAGACAGACAAACAGATAAGAGAGTAAGAGCCGTGAGGTGGTGGTGACAGAGTGAAAAAGAGTAAGAGAGAGAGAGAGAGAGAGAGAAAGAAAGAAAGAACAACGTGCATGACGACGATTTACCTCGCTGAATTGACGCTCCATTACTAATAAACCCCATACTAAGCTGCAGAAAAGACATCTCTGGTTTCAATCGCGCACTGGAAATTGCTTTCCTTTTTTTTATTTTAAAAAAGTTTTTACAAACTTTATTTTTGCAGCTACGGTAGTTCTGTACCCACTAGATGAGGTCATCGGAACGAGATCGGCGTATGTGGTGTAGCGGTTTTAAAAAGTGCTTTGCCGACACACGCAGACGACCCTAGTGCAATCTTCATTTCGATAGAATTTGTATCGAGTATCTCGGTATCCTTTTTCAGCCCTTGTTGGCTCAGACAGGAAGAGCCGAACTCTGCCTCCAATACAAAGATCTACATCTTAAAAATACACGTTTAATACATGTATAACATTACATATCACAGGTTAAGGTTGTTTGGTTAGTTTTCTTGTGCCCCGAGAACTTACGTTTGTCTTATCTAAGATGTAACCAGATAGTGTTAAAGGAACCGTTAAAACATACCGTACCATACCATTCCAAATCACACTACAACATACCGATCATGCCATACATACCATATCATATCATAATCATAATCATACCATACCATACCATACCATACCATACCATACCATACCATACCATACCATTCCATTCCATACTATACCATTCCAAATCACACTACAACATACCGATCATGCCATACCATACCATACCATATCATAATCATACCATACCATTCCATACTATACCATTCTAAATCACACTACAACATACCGATCATGCCATACCATACCATACCATATCATAATCATAATCATACCATACCATACCATACCATACCATTCCATACTATACCATTCCAAATCACACTACAACATACCGATCATACCATGCCACAGCACATCATAACAGACCATACATATTATGA